TACATCATTCCAAAAGTTATCATTATGATAGAATTATGGTAGAATTAAAAACAATACTTTAAATTATAGAGAACTTTGTCCATAATTGATCCAATTCCACATTTAAGCCCCTAATCCGAAAATCACGGTGACGTTCTTATTAATCTAATGATCAAAGTCCATATATATATGTATATGACCACTTCCAAAATTTGCTTTTTTACGACATATGATTTACCGAATATAACTCTTACTTCTTACTTATTTTAATCATAAATTACCGCTAAAATAGGAATAGTCAGCCTTTAGAGTTGCGAGTTTTCATACACTCTAATAATGTTTTCAAAGTGAAACTTTTGGAATATTTTTCAATCTCTTTGTGATCCCTTTAAATGATGTTGTTCTGGAAGAACTTTAACATCCATGTAAACATTTTGGGTAATAAATTGGGGGACTACCAATGAGGGAGCGGAACCTCCCATATGAATTAAATGCAAAAATTCGTTTATCTGGGAAACTAATAGAACTAAATTCTTAAAATTTTGCACGAAGAACTTTAATATTCATCTGAACATTTTTGAGAAAAAAGGGCGGACTTTCATCTGGGGGGCTTGAATTAAATAGAAAAATTCGTATATCTGAGAAACTATTAGAGCTAGAATCTTCAAATTTTACTGAAGAACATTTAGAGAATAACGGGCGGACTTTCAATTGGCACTTCCCATATGAATTTAATACAAAATTTTGTATATCTGGGAAGCTATTCGATTATTAAAATTTTTCATAGATTAAATTAAAATCTTAATTAACGTTCGGAATAATTGGCGAAATTGCAATAATTTGCGTGGAATCTCCCATATGTAACAAAATGTATATCTGGAAAACCAATGTAGTTAGAATCATCAAAATCGTTAAGTGGGTTTCTTATTTATATTGCTTTTAGGGTAGCACAGCATACTGGGTATAGCTAGTAAATAAACAAATAAAAAATCTTTGTTTTTACGTTATTGATCATTTTCTTAATGCAAAATTTTTTAGAAACTGATTTTCCGCAAATTTTTTTATATGGAGGATAGGGTTAAATATCGGTAGATCCTAGTAAAACTTGGAGAAAGGATTTGTTTTTAATTTTTACGAATTTTTAATTCATCCCTACATAATTTCTCACACAACTTTTGAGCTTGCTCTGTTTTGTTGTTATAAACAATATATTTGTTCCAAAATCCCACTTTCTGATCTCTCGGATTCCGTTTTTATTTAAAATCGTAGAAAAATTAAAAACTAAACGTAGTTGAAAACTTAGCCGGCTTACAGTCGATTTTAAGCCGCCGCCGACATATTTAGTGTTAGTCGCCGCCGCCGTTAATATTTGTCGGCGCAGGGCTCTGACACGTATTGCAGATTTTTTTAGAAAATTTACAATATTTTCGTATATATCAAACTTATTTAACTTTACAATAATAGAAATATAACAAATATTAAATAATATATCGTAAAGTGTCAATTATCTGGTAAAATATTATTAAATATGATGACGGCATCAGAGACAGCTTCCACGGGAACAGAAAGAGGCCAGCGCGGTGTAAGTCGTGTACTGGCCAAACTAGATAGTTCCATTGAGGCGGGCAACTACTATGAAGCCCACCAAATGTATCGTACATTATATTTTCGTTATACAGCCCAACAAAAATACGATGATTGCTTGGAGTTACTCTATAAAGGCTCAATGAAATTGATTGCTAAGCAACAAGAAACAAGTGCTGCGGATTTGGGTCTATTGATATTGGATACCTTGGAAAAAAGGGGTAATTGTAAGGATGGCGATTTATGGATAGAGCGTATTGGTAGCTTGATTACAAGGTTAAGCCCAACAACAGTTGAACGAGACACTATAATCGTAAGCGAAATAGCAAATCTATCGAATATTCTATAGTAATAACAAAAAAATTTGCTTTTAGAATCGTTCCATTAAATGGAGTTCGGAAATTTCAGGTAATTATCCTGGTGATCCAGCCCTGTATAAAATACTAGCTCAAGTATATTGGGGTGAAGGCAATACAGAATTAGCTAGACGCTATTATATGTTATGTCGCGATGGAAATCTTTGCGGACGCATTTTAATAAAAATTAATGAAATGAAAGGATTTAACAGTGAAGTGGATCTTTTCATAGTGCAGGCGGTTTTACAGCAGATCAGTGTGAATGATCGCAAAACTGCTGAAGACACTTTCGCCACCTATACCCGGTATCATCCAAAAATCAATCGTAAAGAGGCTCCCTTTAAGCAGCCACTTCTAAATTTTATTCATTTTCTGTTCCGTCTAATGGATACAAAAAATTTAGATTCTTTTCGCTGCTTGCTTTTTATTTATGAAAAAGAGCTGGAGCGTGATGCAGCATTCGAAAAATACTTGGCGAAGATTGGTGCACAATATTTTGGTGCTAATCCTCCTGTGTCACCGTCAGATAGCCATTTTAGTGGCATGTTTGGTGATGTAATATCTCGCCTACTTCAGGGTATTGATGATGATGACGACAATGAAGAGCAGGGTGAGCGTGGGCATGGTGATGGAGCTCATGCCTTGGACTGACAAGCAAGCCCAGTTTGGTGGGAGTAGAAAATATTAAATGTTGCTAATTTTATAAAATGTTTATATTTTTATTTCTTTGCCACATAATAATTATTATTTTTATTTGGTAATATTTAATTTAATATTTGTTTCTTTAACGTTAACATGATTTGGTTAACTGAGTTTTAATTTTAACAATATGCATACTTATAAGAAAAATATTCTTATAACCCAAAAATGTTGGACTTTTGTTTTTTATTTAAATTCTGATGGTTCGCAGTTTCTTATAGGTATTTTTTGGCATCACTGCATCCGATGATAAGTTTGCCGTTTTTATCTATGATGCATTTCCGAACGTACTACGCATCAGATGTAGCGCAGTGATGCATTTCCGAACAGGCCCATAACCAACACAAGATTTGATAGAGGGATAACGCAAATCTTATTTATAACAAATTAGTTTACCCTATAAAAGATTTAGATCCCAAAAACATCTGGGGCCTACAGAAACGGACAGACTAATGTACATGTCTTAATCGGATTCGTTAAATTAATTTACTTAAATTAATTTAACTTTTTTTATAAAAAGTCCATAAAATTATCTCACAAAAGTATTCGAATTTTCCCTGTATTTCATATTTGACCATATTATTCGAAACCCAAAACTTAGAATCGAATTTTTTGCTTAAAATTGTTTTAAGGGGTTTCTATTAACCGAAAGGATGTATTTTTGGTCCATTTGGTCCACAATTTTGTGGCATTTGTAGCATATTTTCATGTAATATCATCAAAATGGCGATTTTTGACCATATTTGCAAATTTTTTCCTTCTTGGAATTTTTCTTCTGGAAGCCATTGGTTATAAAAATAATGATTATACTATATTGAAAGGTGTTTCTTCAAGGCATGGTTTGGAGTTGCACACTTCCACAATATAATGAAAACTTAAAATGTTAAAAGCTTATATCTAAAAGAATATATACAAGACAACTTTCCCCGAAAATGTTTGACCCTAGTATTATAAAAATGGACTTAAGTTGCAATAAATTGAACTAGCGACAGAAGAATAATCCCAATAATATATCTTGGAACGTTCGTACCAATATCAAATTTTGGTTTTATCTTTAGAAAAAAGGAGAAAGAGTTACAAATATTGACAAAAATCGCCATTTTAATGATATAACATGAAAATATGGTACAAGTCCCAAAAATTGTGGACCAACGGTTGATAGTAACCCCTTAAAACAATTTTAAGTATAAAAACCATTCAATTATAAAATCTGGGTTTCGTATAATATGATCAAATATGAAATACAGGAATAATTCGTATACTTTTGTGAGGTAATTTTGTGGACTTTTTTTAAAAAAGGCTAAATTAATTTAAGTAAATGTAATTTTTTCAAGTTTTTAAAAAGCGTGATTTTTTAAACAATATTACAAATTAATTTATTTATTTTGCACACAAACGTATTATTAAATTTAGTTTCTTTTCATAGTATACCTAAATTCGAATACTTATGAGAGACACTGTATGTACATTGATACGGTTGGAAAATTATATTGTGGAATTTACAAAGGGAAAGATAAATCTATAAATACTCTTCTCAGGAAGTTGATGGATATAAAAACTATTAAAGTAACAACAAAATTGAAATCATTCCGATCGGAAAGTGTGATAGCCCTGAAGGGGTCCAAACACATACAATACTTAACGACGAACTGCGACTGACAGCTGGTGTTTACTGTATGTGTTTAAATGAGAGCGGTCATAATCAATACGTCAAACTTGTGCACGAAGTACAAAAATATAAAAATATTCAACTTTGGCATATGAAAATGAAGAGAAAAGAACAAAAACAAACTGTAAAAATTATTGTTTGTCTTTTTGTTGTGTTTAATTTTAATTTGCGTATTTGTGAAAAACATAATTTTTAAATTAAATATGTTTTGATATTGAATATTTTTTATATTATTAAAACACTTTATCAACGCAACGATTGGGCATCACTTCTGTTACGTTGAGTAACTGTCAGTCGCAGTTCATCGTAAAGTATTGTATGTGTTTGGACCATGGCATAATAAGTAAGTCTAATTGTGCCCTGTATTTGAACCTTGATAGAACATATTATATTTGCGGCAACGATATTTTACCGGTACCGGTAGTAAACTGCCAGGGTGTTTTCAGCTTCAGGTTTGCAAATACAAAACGTTTGCTTTTAAATTGTTTGCTTTGAAAACTATATAGTCGACTTTAACTTTTCGACAAAAGATCGAATTTATTGAGGTCGAAATAACTCAAAAATATTAAAATATAATGTTATTAGTGAATATTATTCCTGCAACGTTTCGTTTTTATTAATTCTTCTATAACCCGAAACCTGAAATTTGTTATCAATGACATTTGCATATATTTCTGCCAAAAATAATAAGAAGAAGCATAATTATTAATTTCCCTTTCATTAGTATGACGTTTATTTTTACTGTGCAAAAAAGAGTGATAAATAGTATTTCTTGTTTCTTTAATTTTTATTTTTCATAAAAAGAAATGTTTAATATCCTACAATTAAGTATAAAACCAATAAAAACATTCATGCTAACATAAATAAATTAAAATATAATTAAAATATATGTGGAATACAATATAAAACAAATGACGTAAATACGAAAAAGCATAAAAAACAACTGGGCAAGAACAAGCATCCATTATAGAATTACAAAACAAAAACGAAAAAAGTATATTTTTTTCATTTTTTTCTTTTCGCGAATGTTGTCTGAAATTAGTTTGTAATTGATACTAAATTAAGAAATAATTATATGTTGTTTAAATAGAAAAAGGCAAAAAAATTAAAAATGAATAAACCTGAAACTGATTCAGATAGTTCGGAGGAGTTTTTTGATGCAGAAGATTCTACTCCCAATCGATTGTCAACTTTAAGGTAAATTTTTTGTTAATATACATAAATGTCTGTTTATACATATCAATTGTATTATTAACTTTTTGACTAATTTTTATTTAGCCGCAAATCTTTGGCAAATGCCTCTCAAATACCACAAGAGTTTATTTTTCCCGAACCAGCAGTACGGCTGCAGGCATCATCCGACAGTGATGCCACACCCATTGGAACAGTTACCCCAGCTACGAGCAGTCCAAGCAGTAGTCTAAGTGCTCGTGGCACTAAAACCGATGTATTTGTTGAACCAAAACCAGTGCAGGTCACTGTAAGTAATAGTTCTGTTTTTTATACACTAAATAAAATATCTGCATACCTATAAACGAATATATGTAGGTACAAATGTACAATGTATGTTTGTATATACGCAATATAGGTAATAATAGATAAATTATTTTATGAGCTAACATTAATGTCAAACAATTCAAGGGCGCAGTAATATATATGTTTATACCCTACACCATAGTTGGGAAGTGATTATAGGTTTGTAATTATATATGTATGTATGTTATACCTAAAATGAGTAATTTAACATCATAACCGTAATTACCCCGGATATGATTTACAATTTATCATAAATTAACTAGTTCTAGATCGGTTGCAATTAAAATTTAAATAATATTTTTTTTCATCGATATCGGAAAATGCATTAAATCATTACTAATGATACAAGAAATTGGACAAAGAATGTACCGGAAATATTGAAAATTATAAAAGATCGCGTTCAGCAGCTAGATTCCTATATGGTATGACGGTAAATTAGGGCAGCCCCGTTTATCCATTGAATCAGAAATATGAAATATCAAAAAAAAAAAAAAAAAAAAAATTGTTGGAAAAGTATGTATGTATGTGGTTTCATAAGTATTCTATAGAAGTTCCATACGTTATCTTTCTTAACTTCCCTAGAAATAGTTCCGAGTGTGACAAACTCGAATATAAATTATTGATTAAGAAGAAAGAAACAGAAAAATTATCAAAGAAAACAATTTCGAACAAAAATCATCTAAATTTCATTAAGATTTTTTATCAAAATTTATTATACATTTGTTAGTATTTTTATAACTCTCAAATAGATAGTAAAATCTATATAAAGTATAGCAAATATTTGGGAATTTATGAAAATCGAAAAATGAAAATTGTTAAAAAAAAAATTCTGTGTAACTTTAAAACTTGGAATAGCATCATAAATTTTTCTCATATGACATATTTGTTTTATAAAATTTTCGTTAATATTTATTATTTTAAATCAATTACCTTTCATATTTAATATTTGTTTAAGCAGTGCGTATTTTTTGTTTACATATATTAATTTTCTTTTCATGTAAATCATCATTGTGACTGTCTATCCCATTTTATATACCACCACCAATACCACCCTCAAAACTACCACAAAACATTGTATGTCAATTCGATTAAATGGCAATTGATTTGTAATGTGTAACAATCAACATGATACGAAATGACTTTAGAGTAATACTACTAGAGATATTAGAGATCGTTTTCGAGAATTACGTCAGGGCATGCAAAATGATGATGATGAAAATCCGGGAAATACATTAACACCTGATTCTCAGGTATTTTCTTCTTCTTAGAATATAATACACACATGTAGTTTATATAACGTTTATTTATTTATTTTTCTTATTCTTTAATTTAATTTTATTGTATATTGGCACAAAATAGAATAGTTCCACAGATGGAGTTTATACTCGCCCAACGCATCCATTTAAGGTAGTGGAAAATGACACAATGAGTGTTCAAAGTATAACATCTTTAGGTCGTGTTGGACGTATATTGGCTGGTAGTATTGATCCATCAGCCATGAGTATTGATCGTGAATATTTTGCTAATACAAATAGTCAACAACAACAATTGCAACAACAACAACAGCATCAGCAACAAATACAACAGCAACTACAGTTACAACAACAACAGCAATTTTTACAACAGACACAGTCATCATCAACATCGTCACCAGCAGCTGCAGTCGCAGCTGTATCG